TTTGGGATGGCTAGACGTATCCTCCAGGGGAGTTATAATAAAGGTCAGTCTGTGAGGTGATTAGAACACTGTCACTGTAAAGGGCAAGTCTTTTAGGTGCAAAGGAGAGGTTGGCAGTGGATCCCTGTTCAGCAGCATGTTCAGTCTGGGCTGCAGTCATCTTTGCTGGCCCAGGACCCACTGACTCGTTCCTGCAGTGCCCATGAGCACACAGGAAATGCAGACACACAGCTGAGCCCAGGTCATCCGAACCAGTCGCCTTTCTAGTGGGCTCAGGTATCATACCAGCAGGTGACACTGGCTCCAGATCTGGGGAAGGAGGAGGTGGAAGAGTTCTTCCCTTCTCACTGGTTGTTCACTTAAAGTCTAGCAATAAATCGGTGAGGAAGGATCCCTACCTAAGAGCTGCAGGGTGACTGAGAGCAGCTCGTTAGACACCTCTTAGCTGTCCCCTGGCCCTGGGGACCCCGTCAGCCCTGCACACCTTTGATTCTAAGGACTGTTAGCAGCGTAGCCCTTAGTGAGGGTGCTCATAACCTGAGCGTGGAGTAAGACAGAGCTTAACTCAGCCTCAACATTAAATATTAATATATCCTAAACAATACAGTTGCCTGATCTTTACAGAATTGCCTTTTCTGGTCTTAATTACCAGTGTGCCAAGTCAAAATTTGTCAGTAAAAACTTTTCCTTCTTGGAAATCTCTGTCATGTAGTTTGAAATGAGCATGCTCAACTACTATGTTAGGTAAGTAAAGTGAGAAATTAACAAAAAGTACTTCTTGACCCCTTTTTCCTCACTGTTAAACAGCAATTTAAAATTAACCTGCAAAGTCTCTTTTTTTTGCCTGGAAATATCTAGCCAGTGAAGAAAACTTCTCTTTAGCTGCGGATGGTGTCTGTTAATGTTGTTGGCTAGCTTCTCACTATATTCAGCCTTGCCTTTACTTAACCATGTTTCTTTAAGAATGTCATCTGATAATAGTATGTCAAAATAGTAGATGAAGACTTTTCGTTCAGAGGCTCTTTGCGTTTTGTTGATACAACTGTATACATCTATGTTAGTGTTATACTTTTTTTTTCTCTTTTATTGTAGTCTATGCATGGAACTTTGAAAAGTGTTGAGGGGCCGCCAAACCTGGGGATAAATCTGCCTCTTGGTACTAAACCCACAACTCAGAACTCAGCCGGTCACAACAAAGAGGACACAAAATCTGTCAATGGAACAGAAAAGCTGGAGAAGAAATCTCCTTCTCCCATAAAGAAAGTGGAGCCTAAAAAAGTTGCTAATCCTGGCTGGACGTGTTGGGAGTGTGACAGGCTCTTCACTCAGAGAGACGTTTACATCTCTCACATGAGGAAAGAACATGGAAAGGTAAATGGATAATATTCAATTACAAAAAAGAGAATTAAACCTGAAATATGAAATAGTTTTTTTCCAAATTAATTTGTGTTTTTCCAAGCGATTTCTTTTGGTTCCATTGATAATCTTCTCTGTTCTTGTATCTGTTTCATCTTTCTCTCTGTGGCTGCTTAGTTTTTGTCATTTTCTCCGTGGTTCTACTGAGAAAATGCACATGCCCTTACTTGGCTGTAGGCTTGTTCATGCAGTACCAACATTTCTTTAAGATGGAAAGGGTGAAA